CGGACATAAAAAGGGAAGGCAAGCATACGACTTGTAGACAGGAAACACATAATTCTAAATAAATTTTGCAGGTGTTTGCGACTGTACAAAGGCATTTTGAGATCTCCGTCAACGTGTGAAGCGCGGTTATTTTTCTAGAAAATATGATCTGTCATTTTGCGAGACCACAAGAGTTATAAAAATTAACCTTTTAATATCCGAAAGAAGAAGGTCATTAGAAAGATTTAAATAAAAGATAAAATTAATATAAAATCATAATTATAATTAATATAAAATTAATGTAAAATTATAAAATAAAAAATTAATATAAAAATAATCATTGCTAAAAAGACAATACAGTAATAAAAAGGATTAAAGAATCGGCTCTTTCGTACATTCAGTCCTTGTTGAGCGTAGCAAACCCGTAGTCCCGGCGTACTGAACATTTTATATCCTTAATGGAATTTCCGTTTCTAAGATTCGACGCACGTTGCCGCCATTGGTATCAACTCTCCCGGAAGACGTCGACGAGAATGTGGCCAATGTGCGGTATCGCGAAGACGCTGAAGATTCGGACCGACGCTTAAATTAAATCTAACGTCACGGCGCGAGACATCGATTCTTCTCGCTCCCTTTCTCCTCGCAGTTGTCCCTTTTACGGGATAGTTTCTGATGGCTTGCAACCCTCAGGAAGGTCCCAGGGAATCCGAGGGTTTTTATCGTCGGGCATATCAGAACGGGCGAGAGAAAGAGAAACTTCGAGATGCCAGGGATATAGCAGCGCGTCATCTTTTTGCTCTAGACAAACCGTCTTTGGAAACTTTCGCAAGCTCTCTTTGTCCTCCCGTGATCGTTCGTCAGGATCTTCAGGGCGGACAATAAAGAGACCCCACCCTTCCACAAATTCCGATGATTCGTGATGTCTAAACATCGATCCTCTCGTTTATGCCGCTCGTTTGTCGAAGAAGATTTCGTGTAATATATCTTGATAGAATGTAAATTATGGTCGTGTGAGAGAAACTTAATAAATCATATGTTGCGCTAGTCAGTACAGCAAAAAAAGGAGGAAACTATTGTGTAGTTCTATAATAATAAAACTTCTTGACTTTTTAAAATCACCTAGGATTTTTTACTCGCCTTAAGAATCATTTTCATGGCATCTTTAATGAATTTCTAATTGCAAGATAATAATGCATAATCGCGATGTATTCGTTCAAAAGGTTACATGCGATGAAATTCAACTGAAATTTCCAACAACAAATACTAATTATTATGCAATAATAATTTCAGATGATAAAGAAAATTTATTTCTATTGCAGATCTCTCTCTCTCTCCGTATAGCATACATTATACGAAGTTATACGACCTGCGTTTCAATCAAGTATGAAATTAAAGATGTTCGTCGAGAAGTTCACAGAAACAGGAAGAGCGTGACTGACTGATGTTAATTTTTCACTAATATACGGGAAATTTAATTATTACATAAGATGCAAACAGTTTGTGAAAACATCAAACTTATACACACTTTCT